AAAACGAAAGTTTATAATCATTTATTTGGAAAACTCTTGGAAGCTGGGGTTTCTTCACTTTTATGACAATATTTCTAAACAACTCTCTAAACAGACAGACCAGACCGTCTTTCCTAAAGTTTTACTGTAAAATACTGGCAAACTGAATCTTTTATACAAAAAAATCGATTTTACAAGAAAACTGGTCGACTTTCTTTGGACTCAGTTCTGTTGCTGGGAAAATCTGAATAACTTTTTTTAGTTGTTTGATCAAAGTAGTAAAAAGTTACTCACAAAAAATGTTAATGACCTTTTTTTAGATGTGAAAATTCCAGTCTCGGGTCTCGTAAAGCTTTAATAAATATCTTAATGAACCGATGAGTTATAACTCATTAACTCAAACAGCGGCAACAACTCAATAGCGCAAGTCAACACAGTGTTACCCAGGCATAGTTCAACAACTATTTTCCTGAATTCAGCTAAGTTTCTATATACTTATTACTCAGTAAACATCTAGATTTTTGATGGGTTAGAAAATTGGCTGCTACTTTTCGCTAATTTTTGGCATCCCATAAGCATAGGTTCGAAAGTGCACAATTTTCCAGATACAGGTTTTTGTTTTTCTTTATTATTTTCTGAATAATGCCAATGTATTGCTAAAATTTGGTATTTAAGAGTTTTTGATGATAGATATTTACAGTTAAAGGTCTCATGGCAGCCTATGTCACACCGAAAATATTGCGTGAAAGCTTTTGGCTGTTGCGGAGTTTTTACTAAATGTAGAATGCAGATAACTGTGCATCCTTCAAAATATTAAATTTCTATTCAATTAAAAGATAATTTCGATCAGAAATTAATATAAAAAACCCCACTGTGCGACGGATCTCCGACTCTGAGGTTCTTTTCCCGTTTTTATTAGCGCTCTATACACGAGCGAAATATCTGTCATATCTGATACGTGGCGAGCCAAGTTCGAAGAAATATCGGTGCGTTAATGGTTAATCACGAGCCAAGCCAAATACAACTCGATGCGAATTTCGTACAAATCAAATCTGCAGATCTGGACTTGCGGACCAAATTTCGCCGTTAGTGGGTAGGGGCGAATACTATTATCAGATATTATTGCCGCCTAAGCAGTCATGCTATTGCCATATTTCCGCGGCTTAAAGAAAATACATATTCAGATAAAATTTAACGGTAGACATTGGTACAGATTTGAGATATAGTGTATAATGTTCTAATTCAAGCAATGGGCAAGAGGTGATGATGGCAAATTTGGCTATAGAAATCTTGGAAGATGATCAGATAGTAGCTAATGTCACAGGAGAAAATCACTACTTCGATTACGAAGACGAAGCTTGTCAAAAAATACCCAGTAATAGGCGGTCGATTAATTTGTGCCTACGTTCGGCTGAAGAAAATTTATTGCCACTGTACGAAGTGATTCTTCGTATTTGAATTATAGATATGTTACAGACGGTATATAGAATCAGACCGTATGTACAGACTAGGCCATATGTTCAAGCGCAATGATGTTTACATTTTCACTTGTTAACTGCAAAAATTGTGGTAAAAACAGTTTGTTCTTTGTTAAACGCTAAATATGATATATTTCAGATATGAAGTTACAAAAGTAAATCAGATGTAGTCATTAATAATACAAGCTTAAATTTAAAAATTTAGGTTTTACGAACAACTGTATGAGCGAACAAAATAGGTTGCCCAGAACAGCCGGGGTTTAACTAAAGGGTACCTAATGATTAGTGTGCACAGAACACATCTGTATGTTTTTCAGAATTTGCAGTATTTCACTAAGAAAGTGGTAGATCAATTTGCCTTTTTAATTTTAGTTTTAATAACAACGTGTTTATAAAAAAAATTCCTGCGTGCATTCGATTTCTATTTTTTTTTGCCGCATTTTTCCCTATGGCTGTCGACGCCCTTCCAGTCTATAGTCTCTAGTCTACCCACTTTCTTCTCACTTTTTTTGCGTAGATTTTCTGAAACCACTATGATGCCAGCACAAGCAATAGCTATCCGTTTCTTGCTTCGCATTTTAAACACTTAATTTAATTCCAGAAACATGTGACGCAATTTACAGGGCATTAAAAAACACATATCTATCATATAAATCACAAATCTGCTGTTTCTCATTAGCCATCGTTTTGCACAGAATATGAGACAGGGCTTCACACAACCAAGGTGTGGCGTCTTCAGAACAATTGTCCACTGGTGGTGCAATACGCTGTACAAAGACTTCAGACAAAGGTCTACATTCTTTTTCCCAATTAAAATTGATGGCTTTCTTTTTCTATTCACCCTAAACCATAAGGCTATACGCTCACCCGTAATAGCATAGGAATTCCCGTGCATTTTTGGTAGTGAGTTACAGAAAATCTACTTCTTGTATTTGATTCAAACTTGAAAAATTGGGTAGATGCTATCCTCGAGCATGTCAGAAAGTAATTTTGCCCTAAAACAATAGTCCATAAATGTAAGTTTTTTTCAAATTACCTTTATAAATCGTTGCAATTGTTTTTTCACATTTAAATTGGGTTTCTGACAACCTCCAAAGCTTCTAGTTTAGAATGCTTCAATATTTTTTTAAATTTGGACAAAAGATGCGACCAGGATTCCATGCCAAAATAGTCAATTTTCGGGGACATTTTTTCGTCAAATTCTAGCTCAAATTTTTCGATTTTTTCCTTAATAAAAGTTAGGTCATATGGTCTTCGTTTGAGACAAATATTATCTTAGTGCCCCTTTGATCACTTACGGGACACCCCCGATGTCACGTCAGAGCCCTACTTGTGTGCACGCGGAAATGAATCAAAGATCAAATGCAAATAAGTCACAGGGCTCCAGAACTTGATGAATTTACTAAGTACTAGTCTGGATGAAATATGAAACCGAAAGTCGTCAATTAACAGTCGAAAAGGTAGAAAGAGACGCCGGCGCCGGTCGGCTACAAGGCAAGCGTGTTGCAGTAGTTCACGCTTACCGAAATCTGAAGTTATCTCAAGATTCAACTAGCATTTTTTGAGCGTATAGCCATAAAGCCATCTGAACGAAAATCTATCCTGACAGAAAATCCACTTCAGATGGGATCGTTGGCTTGAGCGTGTATATAAACGCTGTTCAGGCCAGGTTTATGGGTTTCAAATAAAGTATTGCTTCGATGTGCGGGATTCTTTTGGTTGTATTATCGTTTAAAGCACTTATTTCCTAATATTACATTTGCGTTCCACATATTATTAAACTTTTTATTGATTTAAATAATTGCTTGAATTAATGATAATTTTGCTCACAACGCCATTGTTAAAGTAAGCTTGAATTTGCGTACATTTGTTCGCATTTTTTTGCAACATCTGCAGCCTGTAACAATTTAATCAACTCAGGGTGAATAGAAAAAGAAAGCCATAAATTTGAATTGGGATATACCGATGCCCAAGATTTTACCTACTTTCTCCTAAAATTTTTCTTTAGACACAAGTCAACTTCTGCAGAATCATCAATTCGTCAATTGGCAGCACAGTCTTCTAATAAAACATCTCTCACACAGATGTTATTGGGAAACGATTGGCAGTACCTTTGAATATTGGAGACAAATTTTCTGACGTTGGAAAAGCATGGGCATCAAAATGGAGAGATCTCAATCCACAGCAAGCGGTGCATGCGGAAAAATTAATAAATGATGTTTTCTACGAAGCACAGTTGGGAAACTTAAATCGTAGTTGTCTCCTACAAACTATGCAGAAAAATTCCAGAATAGTTCATCCTCCATTCGTCTCTCAGCTCCCATTCAACTGTCAGCCTTCAACACGCAACAGTCATTACACTCTCAACCCTGGTTCACCATTCAGCACCAATTCAAAGCTCACCAATCATTGTTCCCTCAAGTCTCATTTAATATTCCCAATATGCAACGAGAAGTCAAACCGCTAACACCCAACCATCAAGCGACTTCGCAAGTTTTTAGCAACTACAATGATTGTATGGATGAAGCAGCTTAATTGTATATAATTTTTTTTGAACCTATTCTTTGATTGAAGATCAACATATTAAGTTCATTAATAAAAAATATATCTCTACTTTTTGATTTATTTTCTTGTATTATCAATATTTAAAAACTTACCTTTAGATATGTGTTTTTTTAATGCCCTGTAAATTGCGTCACATGTTTCGGGAATTAAATTACTCAGAGCTGGCTTGGAAATAACGGTGGAAAATTTTAAGTCTTTGTAGCTTCTTCTGGTTGCCAAAAATCTGAGTGTAACTGATAATCGTTCGTGGGGGGTAATCGCACGTCTCATAACGGTGTCTGCTCTCGAAATCATTGGCGTAATTAAGTTTAGCAAATGCAGGTATGTGGCTTCGTCCATACGTAAGTAATTACGAAAATCGTCAGGATCATTACGTGATTCCGCTATTAAATTCGTATGAGACAAGAAATTCCTATTCAGCAACCATGATTTACACCATTTCCTTTTAGTTTTTAAGTTCATCTTCTTTTTAATTACACACACTGCAGCAGTTGCAAGAATTAACTCTTCGTCTAAATGTTCCATCTTGGCAGCAATGCACGTTTGGGTGGTATTCCTTCACATCTGTGTAAAACCATAGAACAAGGCTTATATAGAAACGACTCTTACTCTTGTGGAAACTGTGTCGCTAAAGTGGCGCGTCCTGGTGGCTGAGAATTAAAGAATTCTAACAAACCTGTATTATGAACCCACTACACTTGCTTATTTTTAATTGTGCCGCAAGGGGCAGCTGATAATAGGGATAAATGACACAACTACACAAAAATACATATTAATATATATATTACTTGTTGTTTATTGTTTATATAAATACTTTTTGCAGATAAAAAAAATCTTTGGAGCATTTTTAGGAACAACTTTAAAACATACGCCTTTTGTGATAGGAAGCCGTGCATTTTCTAACAGCCTTCAAGACACC